AGCTCCGTTATGTTTACAGTTGGAATTGGAATCGGAATCGAAATCCTCTGGAATCAGAATCAAAATGGTCCATTTCCATAACCTGTTTGGTTTAGACAGGAATGGAAATTGAAATCAGTAGGAATGAGATTTCATTCCCAAGAGAGGGACAGGGAATGCCAGTCATTCCCTCAAATGGAAGAATGCCATTCTATCAGAAATAGAAATTGAATTCCAATTCCATCCACCCAAACAGTTGGAATTGGAATAACCCATTCCACTTCCAATTCCAAACACCTACTCCCACGAACCAAATGGGGCCTAGATATGTATTCAGAACAAAAAGAAGGCAAACTATTTGATCAGGCTTTGTGGAGAGCTTTAAGATATTGATATCTTTAAGAACCGTTCCTATGCAAAGCAGATTTGGATGGCGGTTGAGCCTAATATATTTGGGCGTGGGGATGAGGATGTGTCCATGCATGATGGATTGGTGGACCCACATCTCAAATAACTGTGTTTCAGTACAAAATATAAGGTTTTGCACTATATGTATATATCTGCATATGCATTCCTTCCAAACTCAGCTTTATAGATTCTATGAAAAAATAGAAATGAAATAGCATTTAATAATAGAACCACTTCTCTGCCTAGTCCCTATCTTGCTTGAGAGAGCTTTGAATTACTTCCTAGAGATTGTGAATTGTATAAAGATGGAGGGAAATTCTGATTCCCCCAAGTGTTGGAATGCTATTGTTTGGAGGGGCCCAAATTTAGGGTTTATTAAGGTTAATTTTGATGCGTTTCATAATGCTGATGGTTTGGTGTGTTATTGCGTGTATTGGTAGGGATCACCTTGGAGTCATTCGTGTTCTTAAAGCATACAAGATTGAGTTTACTACTATCAACGTCGCTAAATCTTGGGCAGGTGCAGCTTGAGAAGCTCAAAATATGGCTCTCAATGTTAGGGATTCCTTTGTCATTATCGAAGGGGATTTGAAGCTTGTCATTGAATTTTTTAAGAGATCTATCTCTACACCATGGAAGCTATTAAACATCACTGAAGACTATAGATGTGTTATCTCGCAACTGTCTATGGAGTTAGGCAAATCAAGCTATAGATTGGTTGGCTTGCAATGCTATCATGGGTGGACAAATTAACCTAAATTGTATTCCTTAGTATTTTAGTTTTATTTGTGCTTTTAATGTTTGGGGCTGAGTTACCCCCGTCTCCTGTCTCCTCTACAACCTCCTCATCCATAAAAAAATAAGGGTAAATCACAAAGACCCCCTGTACTATGGGGTCTGTGACAAAGACCCCTTGTATTTTGTTTTGTGAAAAAGATCCTCCTGTATTATGACCATGAGATAAAGACCCCTTTCTGTTAGCTTTCCGTTGAAATCTACCATTGTAATATATTTTAATCCCCATACTACCCTTGTAATAAGGACAACGGACAAACCTCAACCTGATCGAAGAAGTACATGACCTAGCCTATATCCGGACTGTGGCCTACCAGTAGCAAGTAGTTCGGTACTATAAAGCCCGAGTCAAGAGATGCCAATTATGTATTGGTGAACTTGTACTGGAAAGTGATGGTACCTGATCTTGGTGTAGGTAAGCTTGGACCGAACTGGGAGCAAGTGCCCTGTGCTTGGAATGTTGACAATTTGAGAAATTATTACCTATTAGCTCGGGAGTAAGACATCCACAAAATTTCTCTAAGTCCAGAAGACCACCAAGCTGGTCAGGTTGCACAATGGAGAGTGGACTGCGAGTCACTCCCAACACCTAAGGACCACGGCGCCGAGCTAATAAATGACCTCGGCATTAAAATAAGACTCAGTTTCTTCTAAGCATGGGCAGTAGACAAATCCAACTTACGCCTCATCTGTGCGCAGGCAAGTCGGGCACATACCATACAGTGCTTGCTCACCTCGGCTTACATTGACTTCAAGTTATTCCTAACTATGCCTAGCTCATCAACTTGGCACCTTGGGGTATCTATACTTAGAAAATTTTTACAAGTATATGTTATTGCACATAAAGTGACAAAAAGTTGACATTTCATTACTTTGTAAAAGTAGTTCTAGTATACGCATAAAAAAGAAGAGGAAAAAAGAGAGAAGAAAAGAAAATCTATTGAACCAAGCTCGGAGGCTCGATATATGTTGTATGTACATGGGGGGGTCCAAGAAAAGAGGTAGGATTCAGTTCTCACTTCGGGGCTCCTCGTCCCCGCCTTCAACATCTTTAGGAGAATTCTTTGGCTCGTCCTTCACAGCATCTTCAATGACGCCAACCTCACCGGTCTCCATGGCTTCTCCAACGACGGTACCCAGGCTGCTCGACTTTTCAATGGTTTCCTCATCGATGTTGTCTTCGCACTCCTCCTCGGAGTCAGGATCTTCCTCCTTAGATCGAAGACAGATGGCATGCTTCTAGAAGTCTGATACGTATCATCTTAGTGAGCTAGGCAATCTCGAGCTACTCAGACCTTGGCCATATTGCCGAGTTGCCCAAGACACCGAGGTGGCTTAGCCCACCGAGGTGGTAGGTGGTGCTGAGATGGCAGTAAGCGATGATTCATAGTCTAGCTGGCAGGTCGTGTTCATGTGTCCTTTGTTTACTAGGTTGGGCCAAATCACCCCTCATCACCGTGCATTGAGAATATCTCCATACTTACACGTTATTTTTCATGGGAAGATATTCTCTATGCAAAACTACAAGGGACTGTGCAAATGATGTGAGCATGGCCTTGTGAGCTCTAAAGCTGATTTCCCCAACACCAAACATCCCAGCACTCCAATACGAAATGGGATCACTTGCCAACAAAACAAGTTCTAACACCCTACCAACTTGATTCGACACCGCACATTCCGCTATAAAATTAGGGTTCACCATAAAAGTAGGACCCACCATGTATGAAATGTTCAGTGTTGGATGTTGATAAGCTGTTGGAACGCATTTTATTGGCAAGTGATCTGAGTTGAAATCTTCTGCCACCAAATACCGTTCCTATCCTCAACCAACTTGATCTAACACCACACATCTCAAGGGTTGGAACGTGTTTTCTTGTCAGGTGATCCGACTCCAATACTGTCCCGTCCCTGTTTCATTGTGGTCACAACTCGCAAGAGAGTGCTGCGACCATGTTTTACTGGCGTGGTCTCGTAGCAGATGCCAACTTGTTTTATTGGGCAGCAGTCATGGACGCTGCTGATATCCGGAGCTGTTCTACCGGAGAACGAACAGCAATGAATAGACAGGAGAAGAGGCGGGAGAAATCGTGCCTTGAATTTCCAAAGGAAGATGCAGGATTCATCAAAGCTACTCTTATAGTCTTGTTATTCTTACTCTTACTTGATGGCATTTCGTAGAAGGGGCACCACTTCTTGCTATTTCAGGTTTCAGCTTTCAAAAAATAAACTTAAGCTCAAAATCAGTAAACCTGCAGAGAACCAAATTTAAACGAAAGATGATCATCCATATTAACTCGTTAATCGAGAATTGAGTAGGACATTCGATAATGCATGGTTAAGCTTTAGTGGTTTAGGGCTAGGGGCGAATCTCAAATCCGTTCTTTCTGTGACTTATGCCGTTAAAGAGGTTTCTTAACAGATGTCGAGGCGGATCATCTTTTACTGGGAACATCAAGTAGATCTGAGAGAAAAAGCATTTATAGTTTTCTACTCTTTGTTGATGACCCAAAGAATGCAGAACGTGAAAAACACGAGCAGGCTTGTGTAAGCCCCAAACTTGAAGAGGAGGAAACAGATCATGAAGGTTTCTTGGCACGGTGTTTCGTAGTCTTCCGTTTGATTGCGATCCTCCTCCATTCCTTGCCGTCTAGCTTCTTCGTTCGAACCCTGGTTACAGTGATTCAAATTAAGTCTCTCTGCAGCGGGCTGCACATATAAAAAAGAGATAATTAGATTGAAGAAAGAACACAGGAAAGAAAAGGACTTCAAGAAAATAGGGTTTTAAACGTACCTTGGAAGAAATTTCATCCTCGGCCTCGTCCTCAATATTCGTTTCCGGTGATGAATCCTTCGAATTGACGGCTATCTTCGTGCAGTCTCCTTCTTCGATCACAGTTGAGCCATTTGAAATGATCTGCAACAGAATCAAGAGATAACAAGAGAGAGAGAGAGAGAGACGTTCTTGAATTTAAAGACTGCAAGGCGGAAGAGAAATCGAATCAATGAAAAATGGTTTCGATTGAGCATACTTCTTTAGCGATCATATCTACTTCGAACGTCGGACTACAGATCGACAACTTCGGCAGAGTCTGCTCCAGTTTCTCGTCTTCAGATTTCTGTAGGTCCTTGACATTTGAGTCTTCTTCGGTGACGAGAGTCGACGGAGAGAGAATGTCTTCATTTGTTTCTTTCTGCTGCTTCATTGGCATTCCGAAACGTAAATTTCGTGTCAGAATTCAGGGATTTTAGCTTGAGCCTATTGGACGTACAACCAACTTCATTTATATGTACGCAGTCGTCGAAAATTCCCTACTACACTACTCACTCTGCACACTGCAGAATTACAGATGCCGTTGGCGCCACACCCAACACAACTACTATATGATAGTATTTGCGAATGACCGCAGATGCTGGTCTCATGGTTAAAAATAACCTGATAGAACTTCAAACGAGACATCATCGAGAGATGTTACCAGTACACGGCAGAGATGTGCTGTGGGACGTTGTGGGAAACTATCTTGTGAGAGGCATTTCAACTCACATATTCAGTGGTGGACTCCAAACTCTGATTCCTCCTCTAATCGGATTCAAATGCCCCCCTAGAGTGCCCACAGCACATCCCAACCGTGCATTGGGAACATCTGCTCAGTGGTGCGCTGGAAGCCCATCTAAACTCCTCTCTGTGTTTTTTTTTTTTTTTTTTTATTAAGGGGAGCATTTGGGAAAGCCCAAGCCCATATTCAAATTTTGGAGGATATTCAACCCTATATATTCATTCAGCCCAGACTCAATGAAGCTTCAAATCTCCCGCCAAAAGAATGAAGGCCATCCAGACTCCGCAGAAGGAAGCACCGAGATCTGCAGAATCTGCAACTCGGCGATCGAAGGACGCTCAAATGAAGTCCATCTCCCAACAAGTTAACAAGCCTCACAAGGTGAGATCAGAGATCTGAAAATTGCCCCTATATTTTCCTCTTTTACGGTTTTGCTTGGAATCTACTAAATTCCATTCGTTGTTTTCCGTTTTGTAGATCGCCAAAAAATGCTTGAATTCTTCATTCACGATAGTCTCGAAGGACCTACCTCCTGCGAAACTGGAATCGGCGGATTCCTCGTTGGTGCCGGAGATTTCCTCTGAAGATCAATCGGCAGAGTTCTCGGAGGTTCAATTTTAGACCTAGTTTTTTTTTTTATATCATTATTTGATTCAAACGTTCTCGTCTTTGTTTTGTCGCACTCTTTCATTCCAGAGCTTTCTGTTACCGCTGGATCAAGCCCTGTCAGTTTCACACGAAGCTTTTAATTCGTTGAATCTCTCTTCATCGTCAGAAACGCCGTTTGATTTCCCTTCATCGCCAGATATCACAAGCAATTCAAAGACCATCAGCAATAAACTAGAATCCAGCGAGGGTACACTGGAGAACAGTGCATTCATCCTTTCTGCTGACTGTGTAAAGATGGGGAACGTTGAAGCAGAGATAAGCGTGGATTGTCTCGAAGAGGCCTTGTCTCGGATTTTAAATTCATCGGATGTTGATGCTCGGTCTAAGAAGATAGTGAATGCCTTGGTGAGGATCGTCATCAACGATGTTTGTCATTTGCCCGAAGAACAAGAGAAGTTATCTGAACTTGCGTGGGCAAAGGTTCGCATCGGATTCTTCTTCTGTGTCTTGCTGTGGATCATTTCGTTTTCACTGATTCTGTTCACTAAGGTTGCCGCTCGAAGCTCTTTTACGGATCCTCCTCCGACGTGAATGTTTCATATCTCTCCCACGTGCTTTAATCGTCTATTTGGCCATGGCGTTTTTCCTATGGCTATGGCTATGGGCTTGGGCTATCTTGGACTTTTCTTTGGGTTGGGCCGGTTCTCGGACTTGTACTCAAGCTTAGGATTGGACTAGAACCATCTACCCTTCCCATGTGGAACGTTGACTTGGGCCCAAGCATAGGATCGGACCAGAAACTTTTTTTTTTTTTTTTTTTTGTATCCTGATATTGCTCGTATTATCACTCTACCCTACCTTCTATGGGCATTGATTTCATGCCAGTCTAAACGCCTTTAATGGTGAGAACTTGATTTGATGACAATCTCTAATGGTGAAAAGCTTGATGGAACATGCTGTATGATAGCACTAGCATGCTAGTTGTATGTACTTATACTATCATATAATGTGTTCCATTTGCCTGGGTGAGGATAGAATAGTATCAGAATGGGTGATCTCCCAGGAAGTCTTCATGTTGCAGTCTTGCTTTTTGCTCATAAAAAAGGTAGCATCTACTTATACCCATCTGGTTACTACAATGAAAGTTTGTTTAAAACACTAATTGAAAGGTATATCGGTAAAACTGAAAGGGGAACCTCTTGCCTCTTGTTACACATGGCCCATAATGGCGCCTGGGGCCCTCATCACTTGCTAACTGGTTATTGCTTGAAGAATTGGGACCAACATTGAATGGATCTCAACTGAGAGATTGGTCATGCCCAATTAAATCGAGTAAAACCAGATGGTTATAATATTCTTTGAATGCTGCTTTTTGGCCCTACTGATGCATCAGATGGTAAGTACCCATCCAATGGTGGATATAAATGGTAAGTCATAGACCCCCATGTCTCACTGTTTTCCAGATGTGATTGTTTATCCAGAACCCAAATTTCCACTACTAAAGTCTTGCAACAAGAGTAAATTGATAATCAAGTTACCAGCTTAGATTGCCAGTAATGTAAAATCTCTGATTGGTTGTAGTTGTGATCTGGGGATTTGTTTTTTTTTTTTTTGGTAATAACCTGGGGATTGAATCCTTGTAACAATGGACTTAGATGGGCCTTCTTGATATTCCCTCATGTGTAGGAGGAAACTTCAATATGATTAGATTCATTTTCTAGAAAAGGGGAATTACCAGCCAATCCAAGAGCAAAAAGAAATTCAATGACTTCACATGAGTGTTTGTTAAGACACACATTGTATGCAGATTGGTCTGATTTCTTGCAGACTACATGGGTGCTTTATCTGAATATAGTGGGTGGATTATGATTATGCTTAATGAGGTCTGTGTGGCCCATCTTTTAATGATGTTAGAGACTGTGGTTGGAAGTATTAAAGAACCATGATGGGCAGGGTTCAGACTAATATGTGGGAAACTTACAATATACAAGGCAAGATTAAAAGTCTGGAACAGAGAGACCTTCCAGATGATTGGGGTTGACAAAAAGCAGCCTGCATGTGACAAGTCTTCATGCCATCTGTGATTTCAGTGCTTACAGTATGTTGCTATATATGAAGTATGATGATTCCTCATTCCACTCAAATTCTGATTAAGTGGCCAGAAGTTAGAAATGACAGGTGTATTCTTCAGCAACATATTCCCTGCTTCAATTGGATGAACTATTTGCACCATTTTGCTGCAATTAACACGTAAGTACAGAATGTTCTATCATATCCTTCTCCAGGTCTTCCGACGTTCTTACACCCAAAATCCCTTCTTCCAAAGGATCTCATATTGCTTCAACGACCAGACATGTGTGGCTCCCTTTAATTTGGCCTGAGTAGATATGATTTCCTGATTTTATTCATATTACCTGAAATAGATACCAAGATCATGCAATCAATCCTATAAGAATGAGTTGAAGGGACTTACTAGTTTGTGACAGATTTGAAGTACTTCAAAGTGTGTAAACTCAAGATAATTTATTATATTATATAGCCGTTTTAGTAGAAACTCTCTCAGCTTTGAACCTGCTAATATTATCTTTGTTACATCATATCATTGGAGATATCTTACACATGAATGGGGTTCTCGATTGCTCAAAGTCAAAGTATTATTGATTATTAAAAACATGATAATAGAAAAAATTGTTAGTTGATGTCATAAGCTTTTTCTCACTTTGGTTGGCGATTTTTCTCATAAAGAAATGGATGTAAAATAAGAAAAAGAAAGCCATAGTTGAGGCTAAACATTTATTTATCCTTATGTTGACTGGTATACTGTGCAAAGGGGATGATTGGTTGATCATTTCTCATAAAGAAATGTTTTGTATTCTAATTATATTCATAACAGTTACATTGATCGTTTCTTTTTTTTTTTCTCATTTTCATGCCCAACAGAAGAAATTAGTGCAGGTTGTGATGAACTCAAAGATCGCATACAGTATACTAATTTGAACTTCAAAAATAATTACTGAAACACAGGATGCTAGCCATATATATGAACAACCTCATCTGAACTATTTGGTTTGGATTTTGAATGACAAGGTTGTTATCTATTCCATAAAGTAAAAAAGTTACTGGTTTTGATCCTTTCCTAGAAAATGGCTGTTCTTGGCCTAATATCTGATTGTTTGGACCCATGGCCTTGGCCTGGTAGGTATCATCAGCCCTGGTTAATTTGTGTGCTCCATGCAGGTGAGTGTAGGGTTTCCAATATATGAAGTTATAGTTATTTCTGCCGCTTGTCAACTTATGAGATTTACAATGGTTGCCATGTCATACTTCTTATGTCTGTCATCCCACAAATGGTCTTTTCACAACTATTAGCCAAGTGGATATTGTCTCTGTGCACTTGACTAACTTCAAGTGGTTAGATGATAGAATTTCTTTTTTTTATTTGATGTTAATTGTTGAATCAATGATATGAAACAAAAAGTAATTAAAAAGTGTTTGAATCAATGAGTAGGCACCCTATAATATTGTTTATTGATGCCAAGGAACAGTTTATTAGCCTCCAATATGCTAGGCAAAATAATGAATTTGAGATGGAAAACCCTTAAAAAATGTTGGACTGTGGAGCTTATTTGATTATTATACGACTTGATGTGATTTCAAAAATAAATAAAAAAAAAGGCATCTATATAACGTGACAAGTGATGTAATAAGCTATTATAATATCATAAAACGAGTCCGGGCCACCAAATCTGTGAGCGCCCATGTTTATCTGATTATCTTATCTACTCCATTAACTTTTATCTCGAAAGAGTTGAGCGATGGGAGACTTGAAATCAATGGCTCCTTTTTTTTCCCTGTTTAGGAGGGGGGAGACTAGCAGAAATCACTGTGTTTTAATATGTGGGCTACAAGAATTGGAGAAAAGATAAGAATTAGGAGATAAGGGCATGTTTGGTTAACGGGAATAGAGGTCTGGATTTAAAATCAGAATGGAGATAGAATTAGAATCTCATTTTCATTCCTGGTGTTTTGGCATTTCTCATTTGAGAGAATGGAAACTCCCGCCTCCCCTTTAGGAATGAAATCCAATTCCAGCCGATTCTAATTCTTGAACCAGAGGATAGAAATAGACCATTTTGATTCTGCAGATTCCGAGAGATTTTGATTCCATTTCCGATTCGGATTCTAATTATGAACCAAACGTATTATTACTCACGTGTAACGGATAAGAATGGGCGTTTGTAGATTGAGATGGACATCTACTACAATGACAGAGAAATGTTGCACATGATCCAACTCAGCCGTGGCCTCTTGATGGGTTATGCTCTCAAAATCAGACCAAATGAAACTAGTGAAGAGCTGAGAATTTTCAGACAGCTACAAGGAACAAAGTAGATGAGTTTTAGTTGGCTTAACATATAAAATTAAGACCATATAACAGGAGAGGAAGCAAACCAATCAGGGTGGGGCTATTTGTATTTGGTATTGTAATTCCACCAAACCTGGGAAACCCACCTGGAGAATATCTCTGCATTCCTTCCCTCTTTGTTTTTTCATCTAGATTAATGGCCAAGATGAAGGCATAGAATATTGACACATTAACTTTTGGATTCAAAGAGAAGAGTGGTGGCATTATTACTTGGAGAATTCTGACACACACATTTAGATCCAATGACCTCAGTAGCCCAGAATATCTATATGTATTATTTCAGTACTGCTCTGCTATTATACTGAACAGTTGGTGATCCAATCACAGAGACAACTCGGAGGCGCCATTCATGACGATTAGTAAATTACACCAAGAGAAAAGTATTTTTCAGTCAAAATCAATGCAGTTAATTAAGTATGAGAGCCAAGGATAGAAGAAAGAATAAAAAACGTTAGGGAGCAATGAATGTACTGAGACTAAAAAATTTAAAATTTCTTGTGTTTTGTATTCATGGGTTGTGCAAAGCTGACCCTTTTATTGATATGGGATTCTGGGTTGATCTTTCATCTTTTAATTGCTAGGGGAGGATGATAGGCATGACCCAATAGGCCCCTTCATGGTAGCTAAAGTTGAAAAGGATAAGTACTATCTTATGCTTTAAGGTATATAAATCTCCAATTCTGGAGAGAGAGAGACGATAATAAACAATTAAGCCTTTGGGATTCTACTTAATCTTGTCTCTCTGACATATTTTAATGTGTATTTGGGGTTCATTATTTATTTAGAATTCTTGTTTCATGCCATCTATACTTAACCTGCAAACACTCCCTCCACTAGTCAAGATTGTGGATTAAGTTTATTATTATTAAGGCAAATATTTGTTAAATAACTGTGTAGACTGCAGTTTGTTTTGCTTAGAAGAAAACTTGGGCATCCTCCTTTTGTGAAATATCTTGTTAATTTGAGCAATATAAAGAATGCATCTAACAACTCTCAGCATCCCAACTATTTTGGATCGGCTATATAAAAACACTATATTGGAGTAAACGGTTTCATGTAGAGATTGGTTTCCATTCAGACATTATATCATTATTGGTTATGTTAGCATCAATACTAGCTTACCCAATCTAATAGGACCAACAACTCACAACCATCAAATGTATCATATGTTAATGTGACATCATAGGATCAGATGCCAAAGATCACACCGCTGCTGTCTCACTAGTGCTAAAGTTCACCATAATAATATCTGCCATTGCCTATTAAGTGGGTGTTGGCATTCTTATCAAAAGCTTAATTATGCTTACCTTGACAAACATTATACATTCTTTAAAAATTGGCTCGGAATCGGAACCGTTTTGGCCACTAATTGACGGTTTGACCATTTGGTTTGAATAGATGGCCTATTCTAATTAAAAAAAAAAGATTTAAAAAAAAATAATTAAAACAAATGTATCCAAAAATAGTTTAACGGGTTGAATGAATCGACAGTACAACTGCCTAATCAATGGATTATTGATCAAATCAATGATTTTTGACTAAGGATCGAGTTAAGAGTGAAATGGAACTCATTACCTGGATGATTCTCAAACTAAATGGTCCGACCATTCAAATTAATTACGGTTTGAAAACACTGATTTTAAAAAAAAAAAAAAAAAGAAAGAAAGAAAGAAAGAAAAGGGAGAGAATATTGCTCTTTAGAAGAAGGAGGGGCAATTCGGATGAAACCTGTCCACACCTTATGTAGGGAGGATGGAAGAAAAGCCCCCAAACACATTAAAAAGAAAACACTAAAATCAAAGAATAAGATAGAAAGTGACACAGAAACTAGAAGCCACCACATGCGTTTTCTATATTTTCTTTCCTTTTGTGCCTCACCCACTAATCATTGCTGAATATAAAAACAAATTTGGAGCAATGGAGCTAACATTATAAATCTGGCCAGTAAGACATACCCGCATCATCATTTTATAAAATATTTAGAGTAAATTTCTGAAACCTCTCCCTTAAGTTTCTTGTTGTTGCTGGAATCTCCTTTAAAGTTTGATAATTGTAAATAGACTTCTCTGATAGAATCTTATAAAAAGAGACATTAAAATGTAACAAAATACCTATGCAGCTATTTCTAATAAAAATGTTTGTTTTTCAAATTTAATCTTCATATTAATCATTCAAAAGTAAAACTGCAACTTTAAATTCTCTTTGTTTATATTGTTCATAAAGTTTATATTGTTTTTTTTTTCTTCAGTAAAAACCAGCTTCAATAGTAATTGTATGGGTATTTTAGACATTTCATGTCTATTTTTTAAAAGAGTCTACCAAAAGGAGTCTACTTACAACTGTATCAAAAAAGCTTAGGGAGGTCATTATAATTACTAAACTTTAGAAGAAGTATAAACCACAGTCAGAAATTTAAGGGGAGGTTTCAGCAAATTGTCCAAATATTTAAAGAGTTTAGTGTTTTGTAGGGTTTCCCTAAATCCAGTTAAAAGTTGCTTGGGTTGAACCCCTGGAAATAAGAAGGAAGAAATTTGTTAATCGCAATAGGTGCTGAGTTTTCAATAATTTGACTAGAACCATTTTTTTTTCTTTTTTTTTTTTTTAATTTAAGTGGGCAAAAATATCTTCCTTCTCTGTAAGAAAAGGCCACAAGCAACAAAAATGCCATCTCAAACCTTGGGGGCAAGTTTACTAGGAAAATAATAAATTAATAAAAATCTCTGAGATCTTTTCCAGTGACATTCTCAATATATGTAAATAAGATTTAAATTTTAATTCTTAAAGAAATATGTTTTCTCTGTGGATACATTTTTATTTCCAAGATAGTCCTTGGGAAGTTTCATTGTGATAAGGTATTTTAGGTTGCGTTTGGACAAGCATCAGGGCTTGTGCTTTTTAAAGCCCCAATTTCGGGTTTCATGTGATCTTGGGGCTTAAAAGTGTTTTGGCCTTAAATTGTTATGTTTTTAAAATCAATTTTTACCAACTGTTGAAAACACTCTTTTGTCTCATTTTTGTTTCACACAGCCCAAAGATCAAAAGCAAATAGCAATTGACATTGTTTTAATAAAAAAGAAATGTTTTTCAAATTTCAATAGGTTCTTTGCCCCTGATTTTTCTCTGGTCTAGGGAATGGGTGCAACTTTGAGTTGGAAGAAGACATTAAAGCCTGACATGCAAACCAATCAGCCGCTTGATTTGCTTCACGGTAGATTATTGTTAGGGATAAAAAACACTTACACGAGGCATGAGTATGAGTTGATGTGATGGCCAACCCAATCCAACCTAAGCTGGATATATTCTTGCACATGTAAATTATGATTTAGATTTTAAAGGAACTAATAACGATTAGATTAGAGTGGTGTTTGGTATCATTAATGGCCACATTTTGGAACGGGTAAAATATTTATGGGTATTTTTGCACATGGAAACCATTGTAGTTTTCTTAACAACACAACAAACATGCCTTGGAATTGGGTAAAGTAATTTCGAGTATTTTTGCACATAAAAACCATTATGTTTTCAGACAACAATGATGTGGCTGGATATGTGTTGTTCAAAACTTGTTTTCATTTTTTAAAAGAAAAGTGAGAAAAATAGCAAAACAGCTACATGATACAGATTAATAAAACCCGAACCTAATAAACAATCGGATTTTCTATAAGATCCGAAGATTGATTTACTTGAATTAATTGTCATAATTATAACCAACCAATACCATCCTCCTCTGGCCGGTTGGTCAGTTTTAATAAGATTGCAAATAAAGATGGTAGAAAGGACAGAAATTACACATATATTAGCACTCACGACTGAAAGAAAGCTTGTTGATGTAGTGAGTATAAGCAGCAGCTGCTTTCGGTATTAAATGGTCTCACATGTTCCAGCACGAGGGATGTCTGTGCAGGGGAAACCATTTAATATAATGTTCTACCTTCATTCTTTCGTCTGACAACCCACCCATCTCTCCTTTTCACTATTGTATATAGTGTTTCAGACGATAACACGAGACTGACCCAAAGCCAAAATAAGGGACGAGGGACTGAGGGAGGGACCATTGCTCAGTACAAACCAGCTCAGGTTAGGTTAAATTAAGGGTTAACTTGGGCCTTGCTCCTACATCTGATCACAACACAGTCCAACCCAGGTAAGCCGGATAGGGATGACAATTCTGTGGGTTTCTTCTTAGAGACTTAGACCTCTCAACCCGTATTCTCTTCAAAATTCATAACGGGTTGGATTTTCAGAATCCAAATATCAAAATACAATCAGGGTGGTGGGGTGGGGTGGGTTGGGTTGACAGATTGGGTTCAAAATCTACATTTAATTTTTTATTATTTTTTGTTATATATAGACAATAAATAAATATAAAAAATTTCAATTATTTGATTAAAACATGTTAAAAATATATAAATGATCAATTATCTTTCACATAAAATTTAAAATGCTATCATATTCGGCACTTAATACATAAGTTCATATGCCTTCCTACAATATTATGTCCATAGGGTTGTAAAATCCCAAAATCCATTCATATGCCTGAAAATCTGTTTTTTAGGTTGCGTTTGAAAAATGATGCAAATATGTGGAGTGTAAAACAGTTCATATAAATTGCATAATTGGGTTAGTTTTGCATCGACAAAATTTACCTTCTTACCAAACAGACTTTTAGCTGTAATGGATGCAAATATGAATTCCAATAAAATATATGTTTTTTTTTTTTAATCAAAAGCCCACTTGAATGAAATTTTACTTCTTTTTTATTAATGTACTTTTACATCTTATTATCAATGTAAACATGCACTGATCTGTAACTTACCAATGAATAAATGTAATATTGTCAAACACATGCAAAAGTGTATCAGAGTGCAAATTTATCGTGAACCGAGATTTACACTTCATTCGCATTCTTTCCAAACACATCCTTAAAGAAAAAGAAAAAAAAAGTGTCCCCATTGAAATAAATATCCACTGAATAGAGTAGAAATTGTCATCCCTAAACAAAAAAAAAAAAGAAAATGGGGAGTACCATGACCGGTGCCCGGTGGGGTGGGGTTAAATTAGTCCTGGAATCGGATTCTAGTGGACTCGTCGTCTTAGTTGTGGTGGGCCTGGCTCATCATCAACCAGTCCCAAGTCCCAACTCAACCAACTCAACCCCGGTCGAGTTCTTGTTGAAATACGACTCTATTTTATTTTATTTTTTTCTTTAATCTGATTCTTTTTCTTTTTCACTCACTCACTTCACTAGCAACCAAGCAATGGGGGCAAAAGGGTACGTGGGGGCCGGGCCAGTGGCAGTGGTAGAACTGGGCCGTGCCCACCCAATATTAACTGCCATGGCGCCACCTGCTCCCCACTTTCTCGATTGTCTATGCAGGGAAAACGACGAAATTGCGCCAACTTACCATTATGCCCCGCAATCACTAACCGACAACCAAATTTTTCCTGACAAAAATGCCCTTATCTTTCACCACCCAGCCTTCACCGTTGGATATCCTTTTTAAAGTTTAAAGTCCCCATTAGTTGCCCATTCACATGGTGCTTGGTCCAATTAAGGGAAAAAGGGATGAACACATGTACCCAACACAAAGCCGGAAAGGGAGATGAGCAGAGACAGAGAAATCTAATTGGGGGCATTTATGTCCTTCAATGTAAAAAAGGCATAATAAGGCTTTTCTTATCGATGGAAAAGCAATATCTTATGTGCTAGAGAACTACAATGCATGAAGTAGAAAGCTCTGTCCTGCCCAAATGACTTTTGTTTGGGAAAATGCTTTTGGCAGCATTTCACCTACCAATTTTGATTCTGGAATTGTACAGGGTTTGGCGATCTACAAAAGCGTTTGATAGCTACATTACATTACATTTGCATACATCTCTCTTCCTTTAGCCCTAGCAGGGTAAATTGGTCATATCATAAATAAATAATTAAATTAAATAAAAAAAGGGGGGAAAACCGGAAAACCTAGGCTACTCAACAAGAGAAATGAAACGAGGCACTAAAACAATAAATGCGATTTAAGTAGCGCCACGTGGTGTTGTCTGATTGCTTTAAAGGCTCGCTCGAGTGCTCGACCTTCCTACTTTAACGATTCCTTTATCATGATAGGAGACCTCCCTATTCCTACGAGAGTAGCAGCAGTTACCGCTCACCAGCTCTGTGTTCGAACCCAACAGGCCGCACCGCCGCAGCGGAGCGAGCGAGCGAAGCTCCCTCACGCACCTACGCTGAAAACCTCCGTCAACTTCATAATCATACAACATCTCTGGTTCTCTGATCCTACTTCCTCTCCTTCCAGTTTCGATAGTCATCGATCCCCCGCTTGCCTCGACCGATCGGTTTCTTCTCATGAAGATTGCTTTACCTTCTTCAGGTACATGTATGACGTATCTTCCTTAGATAACATCGAATTCGCTTTCTCGAAATTTGATTTTTTTTTTGTTTTCTGTCATGTTTTTTTCCTTGCTTTTTAGCCTTGATGTTGATCATCCTGGTAATTTGTTTTCGAAAAACAGAGCTAACATAAATCTTCTCAGAGTTTTTTTTTATACTGGTTTTCATCGGAAAGAAAAATCATGTATTCATGACGTTTTGGTGTAATATTAGCTTGCGAGTTGCGACTAGCGAGCGATCCACCTGACACCAGAGGGGAGAGCCGCCTTCCTGTCAACTGGATTCGGTGGATTGATCAGCGAGTTCCGAATTTTTCTGCTTGTCTCGATTTGGTATTCCTTTGTTTTCCTTTTATGCATTTCTCTCTATCTGAATCTATTTTCCTTTTTCCTTCAGGTGTTCGTTCTTATTAGGCGTTTCGTTACTCTCGTTACCTTCCTTTTTCGTTTTCTCTGTCAGAGAGAGAGAGAGATTGATTCCGATTCTTCGTTGGTGAGAATCTTGTGATTCGTGCTTCGGACCTCTATCATCTCGATTGAATTCGTAAGAGAGAGAAAGAAGAAAAAGAGGTGACTTTTTCGGTCCGATTGATGGCATCACCTCTGATCTCGAATCCCGAAGCCAGCTCCGATAGATCGCTAGAGTCGAAAAAGAAGAAGAGGAAGAAAACCGCGAATCAGAACCCAGAAGACCCAACAAGATGGAAGACCCGAGCCGAACAACAAACTTACTCCTCGAAGCTTCTAGAAGCTTTGCGACAAGTCCGCCGGAATCAACCCCCCGCATCCCCGGAAGCTCCGCCTCGTGGCCGAGCTGTACGCGAAGCCGCGGATCGAGTCCTGGCTGTCGCGGCCAAAGGACGAACCCGATGGAGCAGGGCTATCCTCACCGGCCGCCTCAAGTTAAAACTCAGGAAGAAGAAACCCAGGGTGGCGGTCGCCGGAAACTGTCGGTCGAAGAAGCCGGGAGCAAGCATTATCCGCTTGAAGGAGAAGCGGTTACCGGCGTTGCAGCGAAGAGTGCGCGTCCTCGGAGGGTTAGTTCCCGGTTGCCGAAAACTCTCGTTTCCGGAACTTCTAGAAGAAGCAACGGATTATATTGCTGCGTTGGAGATGCAGGTTAGAGCCATGACCGCTCTCACCGAGCTTCTCTCCGTCGTCGGCAACGATGCCGCGACTAGCTCGAATCGGTCCCCGCCGAACTGAATTCGCTATCTCCCCACCCCCTAATGTTTCTCGAATTTTAAATTCATGTATTTTATTGTACACAAGTTCCCTTTTGCTTTTGGTTTTCTGGTTTTCTGTCCTTTCTTCTTCCCTCTTTTCGAACTCCACCATCTTGACGAAGACTCAGAGATATTTTTCTCCCCCATTAAAGAACATTAAATCATTAATTAAACTGAAAAACCAAATAACGAAACCCAATTTGTATGATTGGATGAGGTAAGCCACTAAGCTAGATAATCAAGGCGGCCCATGTGATCATCTTAAAGCCCCCTGACATCCTACGGTGTACGATTCTCAATTATGGATTCCTTTTGGTGATGTCTCCGAGCAGAAGAAAGCCTTGATGATGGATGGATATACCAGTAACCAGATTCATTCCACACCTAGTTTCAAATAGTTCCCCAGGGGAGAAGGATTTGACATTTGAGTGCACTTGTTCTGTACACTGCACTCTCACTCTCACTCTCAGGAGTGAATAATAGTCCTTGCTCCTAACCAGACTATGCGGGAGATGTTTCCAATACACGGTGGGAGTGAGGAATAGATCCCAATTTCAAATGAAAATGCTCGTTTGTTTATAAGTTGGACTCCGGATCTTCTACCCACAAAACATTATCACGGTGCATTGGGAACATATCAAATGAAAATGGCTGCGATCTCGTGTGATATTTGTGGGTAGAATCGTCTTGGAAAGGAAATCCGGACTCAGATAAAGTGAAAACGAACAGAGCCTTATCTCATCTGGTTCTGGGTTCCAGGCACTAAAAGTCGGAGTTGGGATGGGATAGTGGTAGTAGACTAGTAGTACATCTGCATCATACTATCTTTCAGTTTCAGTCTTTCAGATGCGAATATCGGGGCGGGTGATGAACTGAACTGATGTTTGTGGAAGTGCGCTGAAAACTCAGAGATTCCTCCACGTTTATGCATCAGAAACTGGTACTTGTGTTGTATCCTATTCTTATATCCTAATCCTATACGATCAAGAATACAATGCACGTACGTACGTAACTTAATCGCATACATTAATCACAAAATCACCAGCGAAAGAATCACCGACAAATACACAACCATACGAGTTCATCACATTGGCATCAGTCATCAGCTGCAGCTGCAGCTGCAGATACACACTGTCTGATTCTGATCATCAGACGATGCTGAAAAGGTAGTGTCGTAGCTGATGTATGTTGAAGAGATGAATCTGGTGCCAGTAGTTAAGGCGTGTACAAGGGGCTACGTATGACTGGGGAATAATAAGGATTAAGGATGGATGACGTGTTTGTTTCTGATTGGGCGGTACAGCTCGTATTACACACACTTACACGTCTTGTTTGTTATCAAAAAGCTCACGCTTTATTGACAAAAAATCACGAGCTTGCATCTGCTACTCTGCTTCACTGGTTCATTGAAACTCTCTCTGTCTCTACCTTCAGGCTTCAGATAAAAATGGAGACATGGCAGGCAGCGTAGACAGAGGAGGATTACTTCATTTTTTTTTTTTTAATTTTAATTTCTAAAAAAAATAAAAAAGAATCAAAGAAACCGTACGTTTCTATTCCTTGGGTAGTGAGACCACGTGTTGTTAGTGTACCACATGGAACTAAATCACTAATCCGGTCGGTACGTACAAGAGATGCAGACAACGGACTCATGGAAACCCAACCTCCAGTTGCGGTGACATTCCAACAGCACATGTTAGTTGCAGAAATTTGCCTAACCCTACGCACACATGTAAAGATATCTGGTTTTTGATTTGTTGTATTTGGCAAATGTGAGTGAGAAGAGGGGGGTTGATGCGTGATGGTACTCGCCAGAAAATTCCTCTCTGAGCGTGGGATGGTGATGGTCCAGCTTATCTGCATTTGTGGCAGAACGCTTATACTAGAGCAGCCTTGGCTTCAATCGAGAATACCAACAAAATGGAAATGATTTGAGCGTAGTGTGGTGAAGTGAGGACTAAGGAAGTAATCGATCTGGTCTCACTCAGAGGAGGGCCGAGGGCCCCCTTTTGATAACAGTTGCTTATATGGTTCAACACAACTGAATGACTTATTTGCTTTTTGTCTTTCAATCTCAGTTTGGAAGGAGTATAAATACAAATGCATAGTGTGTATTTTGTGTTCTTTCTAAATTGAGACTTTGGCTGCATTTGGTTGCAGTGTACTAGTAAAAATGTATAGGAGTGAGTGTAAATATTAAAAAATATATATATATATATATATTCTGGCTTAATCTTTGTTTTGCGTTTTGCTTTATTTTGTTTCAAGTTTTTTTTTTACTTTATTTATTACACTGCATTCAAATAAAATAAGATAAAATAAAAAAAAAAATCATAATTTGCACCCAAATCTTTCATTAGTGCAAATAAATTTGTGCTGCAACCAAACTCAGCTCTAGTTCCAAAGTAAAATAATCAACCAAATTCCATGGAGCTTGCAGCCAGTGCCCTGGTTTTGTGAGGTGGGTCTTACTTATCCCACAAACTATGTTTGGTGAAAACCCTATTGGAAGGCAAAAACATGGCTTTCTGCTGAAACTACTTTTAGTGGCTTCTTCAAATCCAACCAATGCTTCAACCCTCCCAAACAGACCTTACATTATGAGTCTGTTTGGGAGAGCTTTAGTTTTGGTTGAGCTGCTTTCAGCTTTACCAAAAAAAGTCTATTATTGGTGTATATCCACCTTGAAAAGCTAAAAGTTGAATCCAGTTTTCTTATTCATTTTCTCTACCTGCACCTTACCCATCATACACGGCAGCCGCACATCTCACAATTTAAGATGGTGACTTGTGGCTGCATTTCAATGTGAGTAGAGAGTGTGGACATAAAACCCAGTTTGGTGAAAGTTCTCCCAAATGGGCATTATTTATGAAACAAAAGCAAAATCAAATGTAATTCAATTCAGCCAATTCATTAATGGGCTAATGGCTAAATGCCACCACCATTCGTCATTTATCCCTCCCTGTCAAGGGAATTTGCAGAGCAAGCCCTTTGATGATGATTTCTGTAGGGACCATTATTAATTGCGTTGTCACTTTGTCACAAGCTAATAATATTTATGGTGTATATTATATGTATATAATACTTGAGATTTTGGGTGATTAATAGTTTAATACAATTAATGCATTTAAATTAACGAATAAATGGATTTAAATAAAATATAAATACATGATTTTCAAGTTAAGTGGGTCAATTTGAAATTAATATGTTTATGGATTGTGGTAAATGGATTACACAATTCTGACCCAAACATGGTTAAGATAAAACGTCCTAAACCTACTAATTTTGTGTCTTTTTTGAATCATGTTTATGTGTTGTATGGTTGTATCAAATATTATTAACCCTAGATTTGGTCCAATCGATCCAATCTGATGTGAGTCTACTACAAATGGATCAGGTCCAATCCAATCTAATGAATAATTTAGACTATTTTGGATCAGTCCAATTCAATATTAAGACTATTCAATTTGTTTAAATTCATTTTAATTTATATTGGTTTCAACCCAAATTCAGTCTATTGATACCTATATTCTTATTTAATATTGGCTTATTCTAACCAAATCCAATATAAATTTATTACGGATGGACCAGATCCAATCCAATCCAATCTAATAAATATTTTGGACCGAATTGATCCAATCTATTATTGTCTTTTTGGTCCATCCAATCCATACAAATTGATTTTGGACTGGACGAACGGGTCCATTGACACCCTTAACCCTAGCTAAATTGTATGGCTTCCCTATGTTTTATATAATGCACACGTTGATTAGTTACTTATTATTAATACGTTGGTAAGAAAAGGGAAATTACAGATGTGATGATTGGTACTGTAGTCGTTGCCTCAGGTAATGTCTTATCTTGGTGGAAATTGGGAGAACAAGTGATTCTGCACAAACTCTCTCAATCATAATAGTTTATATATGTATTAATATTATATTTAAAGATACACAGATGCCACATGGGATAAAACACATTTCGGAGCAAGAAACCAATGTTTTCAAAATTGGACTGGATCGGGAAAACCAGACATTACTGGCTCCGTTTCACCCAAAACTAAGTTAATCCGGGTGGTGGAATCATCAAACCGTCAACTCAAATAATTTGTCGAAAACGGTCGGACCATTTGATCTAAGAAGTGATTCCCAAACGGTTTCCTGTCCAATTCAGTTATTTAACCTTGCAAGAAACACTAAAACAACTATTTTACAAAAAATTGAGGTAAAATAATTGTAACAACCTTTTACTTATAAATTGTTCAAACCACTTACAAGGCTGTTTCTTGAGATAACAGACACCAATAAAGATGTATGAACGGGATCTACCTCAAGAATCAGCTAAAGCAATAAGATGAAGATGAAAATCTAAGAAAGACTCCATCTTTGTAATGAAGTTGGTATATGATAATTGTAGAAATAGTTTTTATAATAAAAAAGAAGAAACTATATTCTTTGCTTTGGTTTTTGAAACATATATTTAATTGTGGATGGATGTAAATTCCAATTTCGCCATTGATCTTTCATCAAATGGGCATGTTTGCATGGATTTGGCTGTGGTCTAAATAATTACAGGTCATTTGGCAAGTCTTTTTGGGAAAATCTTCTTGTAGTTCTGACAGTTAAAAGACGTATTGAGTTTTTGCATCAAGATCTGAGTAGCCCAAAACTAGTTTGACTATCATGCATCTTTTTGTATCGTTCTGCATGAGAATAAAGCGAGAAAGACACGAAAAACTCTATTTGAAACTTCCCGAGATCAGTCTAAAATGGGTTTCTCGTGTCTTTTCGGCATATTGACTTTCGATGGCTAAATCTGTTACGAACCAAATGGAAAAAGACTGTAGCACGATCTACCCTGCTTGTAAACAGATGAAAGACTGCATAAAAAGACATGCCAAATGAGACCTTAATAATGTAAGCATTATTATAATAATACATGCAAAATAATGCTCATTAATACTATAAAATATATAAATAACAATCTGATGTGTTATGTACATTGAATCATCAACAACCAAGCTTACATCATGATTTGCCACGTGTATATATACTAAAGAAGATAAAAGGAATGAAGAAAAGAAGATTAGATGCATGTCTGAGTCAATAAAGAGCGAATATTATG